TATGTATTTTAAATTTTTCATAAAATTTAAAATTTTTTAATATCTTTTACTATTATATGATTTTGAAAATACACCACATCCTAATCATATACTCTCAAATTATTTCTATGCTCTACAATGCAATTAAAATGAATAAAATGATTTTTTAGGAATTATTTATAAATAATTCACGGAAAAATTCGGATCCAACATTTTCAAAATAATGAAATGTATTAAATAAATTTTTAGAAAATATGCAACTCATAGAGAATTTTGCAAATTATGCAATTTTATGTGAAAATAGGCTTCTAAATCTTTAAAAAGCATCTTCCTAAATTTTCAAAATTTTAAATCTATTTTAAAGAATTAAAAAAAATGGTTAGCTTACAAAATTATACTTTTAAGTAAAAAATTAAGATGAGTAATTTATATTTTAAAACATTTTTTTTTCTATCATCCTTTAAAGATTTCTCCTACCAAATTTTTACTCAATTCTTGAATGTTGAAGGTCCACTCAAACTCTCTTTTACTTCAGACAAAAGGAGAAAGAATCTTAAAGGAATTGTCTCATAATCTAAACATGCAACACATGAAGTTATTAATATCAACTTATTAATAGTTGAGTAAACTTTCGTGCTTATACTTTGAGTATGATTAGGAAGGTCGTAGTTTTTTATAAAATTGATTGTAAAGTTATTGTAGAGAAAGTAATTTTTAGAAAGCTGCTTTACAAAACAGCTTCCTAGCATAAAAAAAATCTTGAATGAAGTAAAAAAATAGTGGCCAAATAGATATTATGGATGAGTTGTGAAAAGCAAAGTAATGAAAAAGTTGTCCGTAATGAAACTTTTGTGTTGATCATTTCAAGTTTAACGTGACCAAGAAGCTATGAATATGTTGAGTCTAGTTTTTCATCAAAAATAATATAAGAAAATTTAGGATTAAGCATAGACCATCACACTATATTATTGTCTTGAATTTTTCATATGAAAATATTGTTGTTTGATGGGACGACTCTAAAAAATTCACATAACCAGTATAAATATCAAGCTAAAATTTAAATTAGAAACTTTGGAATTAAATTCAAGATCATTTGAACTACATTTTAACAAATTTAGAGTCAAACTGTATGTCTCGATGAGACAAACTTATTTGCACTACAAATGATCCAATCCGACTACAAATGAGCTCAAATCAAACACTTGAATTATATTTAAAAACTTTTGAACGTAAAATTAATGAACCAAATGATTTCCAATTATAGTATGCTTATAATCAAATTGAGCGGCTTGATGAGATGAATCTAACAATCCTAATATCACTCGATTTTGATATCATTCAGACATTCAAATGTTTGATAAGTGATATATGATCAAAGAGATCAATATGAACCATATGATAGAGTGCTATGGATTTTGACCGAAATTACCAACATGCCCATCTTAGATCTCATACTTTACTTAAGAGGGGATTCAACAGTTCAAAGAACTAAAGAAATCTGATACATTTTATGGGTATCACCAACAGTATTCATCACCAGCAATCGCCGCCATTGTCTTCAGACTATTTTCAAGTTCTAAACCATTCTTTTCCACTTGCGAGGAAGGAAGGATTTTTTGTATCTCTTATTCTATAATAAATTATTTTGAGCAGGCTAAGTCCCATAATTTTTTTCATTCCAAGATTTTTCCCAGAAAAAATTTCTCATCTCTCATAACTTTTTCACTGTGTTAGATTTTTATATAATGGTAAGGCATTAAACTCTCACTCACATGCTGCAAATTTTAGCTTCTTTGATATTAATGATTTACGTAAAAAATTGTAATGATTGAGAGCAAATTTTTGTGATCTTATTAGGCTGGACATAGTTTCATATTATCAAAACCTACATGTAACAACTTGCAATCTAATATAGGCAAAGAATAACTATTAGCTTTTTTCAACCTTATTATTCTAATTCAACAAACGGTCCCTTAGTCAATTATTGTATGCGAACGCCAAACATCGTCCGGAGATCAATCAGAATACGCCACATCACCTCTTCATCATGTACCATGGCCCGGTACCGCTGATGTGGCTGCACCTGATTCATCTCCGAACGTAGAGCTATATCCGGCCTCCGCATAAAATAATTTCTCGAATAAGAGGGCTTGTGCCCAACTGAATTGCCTAACCCAACCGAAGCCAACGCGCCCAATTTGCGGTAATAGCACCGGTTTTTTTAGCAAGCCGATCGCACGTGCCAAAGCCAACGAGTAAACCGTAACGCTATATATATATATATGCAGAAGAAATGCCAAATGAAAAGATCCTAACCAAAACCCTAGGCTTCGCGGCGAGCAAGCTTCCCTTCCCTCGTTCCTCCACCAGGTTTGTGGAACGGCACATCCTCAATTTCCTAGTTCTTCTCTGCTATGCAGATCTAATGTTTGTTATCTACTTTTAAATCCACCTGACCTATTCATATTTTGTGTTCGGCGTAATCTAAAGATCTTCGTGACGAATATTGTGTTTTTAGATCGTCTGTGTTGTTGAATTTAACACTAAAATGTAAATTCTCTTAAAAGCATATGCAGAAAGATCATTCATGGATGCTAATTCTCACCCATTGCGCATTATCTTCTAATAGTTGGTAGGGTTGTGAGGCAAAATATAGACGCCAAAGTAATATGATATATAACGTTTGTTAAAAAACTCAAATCGTTGAGATATTCTGTAAAATGTTTAAGAAAGGAGAAGAATCTCCATTGTTTCTTTTCATTTTTGTGTTTGTTAGCAATTGTTTGTTTCACAAATTGCTGCAGGATTAACTGTAAAACTTACCAATATGTATACGGCAAGGAAGAAAATTCAAAAGGAGAATGATGCTGAGCCCACAGGATTTGAGGATACTGTTGCGCAGGTTAATTATGTGGAATATTCTCATGAAATGCTCTGTTTTATTTTATTTTTTATTGTGGCTTTCATGGTATTGAGTTACTTTTACTTCTGTCAGGTGCTATTTGACTTGGAAAATACAAACCTGGAACTTAGGAGTGATTTGAAAGATCTTTTCATAAACTCCGCTGTGTAAGATGAGACAGTTGTAGTCTAGAAATTTTTATTTATTCACCTTTGTTGCTTCTAATGGTTTCCTAGTTGCAGTTTGATGGATGTCGCTGGGAATTGCAAGCCCATAGTTATTCATGTTCCCTACAGAATCAGGAACGCCTTCCGCAAGATTCATTTGAGGCTTGTGAGGGAATTAGAAAAGAAGTTTAGTGGAAGGGTTAGTTTGTCTGTGGCTTTTGCTTCCCACAGTTTTCATTCTACCTTTGTCTTGTATATTTGTAGGTTTGCTTGTTTGGAGAATGAGAAAGCTAGTGGAATTATCTAATTGTGCATTGGGAATTATTCATTTTGCAATCTGAAATTAATTGCTTTAATGATTAATTGTATGACATCACTTTTTCTGTCATGCTTTTTTTATTTTAAAAAAAAGATATTGGCTATAGTTACAACATCATACAAAATTTGGCAGGCCTAACTGTAAACTTTTAGGAAAATTTTGTTAAATTCTCATCTGTTCAAGCAGCCTCTTGTTCGAAATTTACTAGTTTGAAAAAAATTGAGTTTTATCTTAAACTTTATTGAAGCTCTCGAGTTTCAGGCAGCTATTATAACCAATTGATGCTAAAACTGGTTTTAAATGTCTTTTGTTGTGGTTACAACTGCATTTTAATCACTAATTGAAGAAGATCATTATGTTGGTATGAACTTAATTGTGAATTTTATGAAAAGTCTTAATAAATGTGATACCTTAAATCTTACTAATGAGTTAATGTTGCAATTCATAAAAAATAAGGTGCCCCTTGATATTAAGCAACACCCAAGCTTCTTTTGACAATTCCTAATGTAAATGTTCTTACATGTACATTCTAGTCCTAACCGGATATGGCCTTTAAAGTTCTTGCCAAGTCCTAAGTTTTACATTTAGTTATGGATCATCAAATTGAGTTTGATTTACTGCATCATTTGCATCTTCATTGATTGCTTTTATTGGCTTTGCAAATTAGTGTTATAATCATCTTTTCATCGATGAGCTGAAACAGATTCCTTTTTTCCTTTGTGACTGTTATGCAATTTTAAAATTTTTAAATAACTCATATTAGGCTTAGTGTGCATTGCAGGTGTAATACTTTACTCCTAAAATTACCCAACAAATCTTTTTGTTTTTTGGGGCATATAGATCCTCTCTTTTATCCAGTTCTCTATCCTCCTTGACTATTCACTTTTTTCCTTGTAGCATTTGGTTTATTTGATGCAACCGTTTATTTTTTAGGAGGTTGTTATTATTGCTTCTCGTAGGATAGTGATGCCACCCAAGAAAGGTTCCTCAATCACTCGCCCTCGCAGCCGCACTCTCACTGCAGTTCAGGATGCTATTTTAGAGGATATTGTTTACCCTGCAGAGATTGTTGGAAAGCGTGTGAGATATAGGTCGGATGGCTCCAAGATTGTCAAGGTGAACATCTACTTTTTAAACTAAGTTCTTATAAGCTAAATCTATTAGTTTTGTACTAATTGTTCTTAAACTAAGTTCTTATATTTATTTGAGCTACATTGTGCATTATTGTATGCGTGGTTATATATCTATTTGAATTATTGACTCTGTATGTTCAAGTGAAGGCAGTACTCATAACATATTCTTGATATAGTTCTAGAATATCCAATTAAAAATAAAAGTTTTTAATCACTAACATAATTGGTTGTTGTTAGACTGGTCCTTGGTGGACCGGTTGAGCCGGCCCCTTCTAAGGGGCCGGTTCATGTATACAGGAGAAGGGGGCGGCGGCAAGAGAAAGAGAGAGATTGGGTGGGGTCCACTAGAGATTCAAAATTCAAAGTTTGGAGCCAAAGAAGGGCGGCAAGGGCTTTTGGGTCTTTTTTGCTTTAAAGATTAAATTTTTTTAATGATTAATTGTATGCCTAAGTATGAGGGAGAAATTAGGGTTAGGATTATGCTCGATTATTGTGTTCTCTTGGAGTTTCTTCTTGGTATCTTGATCTCTAGATTCATCTAGAGATTGAGAGAGAACGATTCTCCTCTCGAATTGAGGATCAATTATATCTTTCCTTTGTTTCCTTCCATTGATTTGACTCCTATAATAAAATCTATTGTTTTTTATTGTTTTCATTGGATTGTTGAGTTTTTCCCACTGATGTTATCAATCTTGTTAGGATTTACTTGAAATATTCAAATATTTCCTATCAGTTTTGTCTTTCTAATCTCATTAGTAATATTATATTTTTTTCCAGGAGATAGCTCTTTATTTCAATACATGTCATGTAGTTATTTTTATGTTTCTTATCATGTTGATTCTTTCATGTTCATGTTATTTATACATATATTCTCAAGTATTTCAACTATTTTGTTGCTTAGTTAGTGACAACAAACTCCATTGCTTTCTTGCAGATTTTTCTGGACCCTAAGGAACGCAACAATACTGAGTACAAGCTGGAGACCTTTTCAGGAGTCTACCGCAAACTGTGTGGAAAGGAGGTTGTGTTTGAATACCCAGCTATTGAGAACGCTTGAACCTTCTGGTATTGACATTGGCTCTTTCATTAGTGTAGGAGATGGGGAAAATTTGATAATTTTATGGTGTTCAGTTACAGCAAAGTTTAGTTTTGTTTGACATTGGTGGCTCTCTTTTTCTAGTGGTGATAGCTCCATATTGGAGACCTTTGGGTTAATAGCTCCACCCTTTGAAAAAATTTAGAACATCATATTGTTTAAATATCATATAATATGTAAGATGGGACACTTGTAAATTAATGAATGAGACTTATAATCACATTAATACAATGGTCCATGCAATTTTTTTTTTATTACTCGGCCTAATGTGAGCTTTTTGATTATAAGCTAACAGACCGGGCTTATAAATATTGTGCATTAGTTAAACTTTGGTTTAATTAGGAATGACTTTCTTATTGCTTCTTAGAACAGCATTGTAGTATAAAAATTAAAAATTTTATTCTAGAAAACTGCTTTAAAAAGCAATAAGGAAGTCGTCCCAAACGTAGCCTTTATTGACATGCCATACCTATACATCTCATTGCATCATAGAACAATGTGATGCTAATAAAATGAAAAACTATAAGAATAATAACACATCATAATATAATAATATCTATCATAAAATATCATAAAAAAATTAATTAAAATTATAAAATTAGTAACAAAATAGAAAAAAAAGTTAAATTATTAAATAAATCTCATGTTTAAGAGTTTGTCCTTACATTATATAATTTTTTTTTAAAATCATTTTATAAGATAGTGATTTCAAAGAAATATCAAAATTAATTAAATTGCAATCTTTAAGATGAAATTATAAATCAATGCAATATTTACTTATGATTAATTATTTTTTAATTTTTTAAATTAACCACATATTAGCTCTTATTTATCATTAACTCTAAAAAATGCCCTAATTGTTAAGTCTAATATATATATATATATATATATATATATATACTGAATCATGCATTTTGTTTTTCAAACTTGCCGAAGCATTAAAAAAAATGCATTTTAAATTTTTCATAAAATCTAAAATTTTTTAATATCTTTTACTATTATATGATTTTGAAAATGCACCAAATCCCAATGATATACTCTCAAATTATTTCTATGCTCTACAATGCAATTAAAATGCATAAAATAATTTTTTAGGAATTATTTTATATTTATTTTTATTTTCACATTTTATGAATACTCTTATATGTTAATGTAGGTTTTTTACAAGTACTTAATAGAAAATATAAAGTCACGTAAGCATTTACTGGCTCATGCCACGTGTCATGTATAGTATGTAATAAGTCATAATTAATATCAAAATTTATTTTATATTCTCTATAATAGATAGTATTTATTGTAGCCCTCTAAGTCTTATAAATAAATAATGAAAATACACAGTTTCGATTTTTTTTTTGACACTAATATACAAAAAATTTTATACTTTTTGAGATTTTTTACTTTGCACTATAGTCTCTCTTCTACTCTCCATACCTACTAAAGTCTCATAACATGTGTAATTCACGGGAAAATTCGGATCCAACATTTTCAAAATAATGAAATGTATTAAATGAATTTTTAGAAAATATGCAACTTATAGAGAATTTTGCAAATTATGAAATTTTTTGTGAAAATAGGCTTCTAAATCTTTAAAAAGCATCTTCCTAAATTTTTAAAATTTTAAATCTATTTTAAAGAATAAAAAAAATGGATAGCTTACAAAATTATACTTTTAAGTAATAAATTAAGATGAGCAATTTAAGTGGCTGCATATCATCCTTCAAAGATTTCTCCTACCAAATTTTTACTCAATTCTTGAATGTAGAATGTCTACTCAAACTCTCTTTTACTTCAGACAAAAGGAGAAAGTATTTTAAAGGAATTATGTCTCATAATTTAAACATGCAACATATGAAGTTACTAATATCAACTTATTAATAGTTGAGTAAACTTTGGTGCTTAGACTTTGAGTATGATTGTGATGTTCGTAACTTTTTATAAAAGTAACTACAAAGTTGTTATGGAGAAAGTAATTTTTAAAAAACTGCTTTACAAAATAGCTTCCTAGCATAAAAAAAATCTTGGATGAAGTGAAAAAATAGTGGCCAAATAGATACTATGGCTTAGTTGTGAAAAGCTAAGTAATAAAAAAGTTGTCCGTATTGAAACTTTTGTGTTGATCATTTCAAGTTTAACGTGACCAAGATGCTAGGAATATGTTGAGTGATCTATTGCAGAAAACAAAAGAGTACATGCATAATAAGGAGATTATTTTCTCATCTGGCTTTCTATATCTAATGTTATTTTCTTTTATTATGATAAAAAGAAAGATGGTCACTAGGATATTAGGAAAGTGGAACAAGAGGGTGAGAGAGTAGGGTTTTCCTCCCCTCCTCCTCCCGCAACTTTGTCCTCCTCTTCTCCTCCTCCGGCTTTGTCGGAGGACCTTCTTCTACTCTCTCTTATGGCTTCTTCGCCTCCATCCTCAGTTTCCCCCCCTTGGCATCGTCTTCTGGAGGTGTCCCCACTCCACAACGTCTTTGGACACAAATCTTCGCACCCTCCAACCCATCTCCCATTGATCTTCACTTCTCTTTTCATCCCTCTAAGCGAGAAATTATACCTTTTTCTGGTGATAAGCTCGCCAAAGGTGTTATAGATTGGGGCCTTTGCCTAGTTGGATACTCCATCGGGAGAAGGCCTTTCTATGAGGCGCTTCTTGGTTCCATGAAAAAAACTTGGGCTCTTAAAGGTTTGCTGCAACTAATCTCCCTCAATGATGGATTCTTTTTGCTTCGCTTCACTTGTTCGAAAATTACAAAATGATCTGGTCCAGAGGCGTATGGTTTCTCTTAGGTAAACCTTTTATCCTCCAGAAATGGCACCCCAAATTTAAACCCAAGAGAGAAAATTTCTCCTCTGTTCCGGTTTGGATTAAGATCCATGATCTATCGCTTGCATGCTGGAATTCAGAGGGCATATCCAGAATCGCAAGCAAAGTCGAAATCCCACTGGCAGCTGATAACTTAACCATTCAAAGGGCTCTGTTAATGTTTGTTAGAGTCTGTGTGCTCATTGACAATGAGGCCAAATATCTAAAACAGATTGCTGTTTCGCTTGATGGGGATATTATCCGATTAAAAGTGCAGTAGGAATGGAGGCCCTCTCCATATTTGCACTATAAGTCTTTAATCCATTATTCTTCATTATATCCGTCCAAGCCAGCTACTGTTGAAACTAGGATCACCTCTGTTGCGGACCCTAAGACACATCCTAATAAAGGGAGAAGTTTTAGTCGGAAACGTAGAAATCGCAGAACTCCTGATCATCACTTAGACAAGGAACCAATAAACTGTCACGACCCAACCCTGTAAGCTCGCATAGGCGAGGCAGGAACAGAGGTCGGACAGGAAGAAACAAGCCTTCATAACATAACATCAAAAGATTTAACATAAATCAAACATCTTCAACTATATAATGAAAGAGCCACTAAAGTAATTCCAAGAAAAACTTCCATTTTTCATTCATCTTTCAAAAGAAACATGTACATAGAGATTTCTTCCAAATGAAGGGATCCAAACAAATCTAACTCTCTAAAAAATTTTACATACATCCATCTATAATCAAAATAATAAAACTTAAAAGAACCAACCGCCCGTTGTCTCCCTACGACGGTAAGTGCGCGGTGGTTGGTCTGCCATTATCTAATCACAGGATCTCCTAAAAATTTTCCACAACATGGGTGAGTCATAACTCAATAGGCAAATGCTTTTTCAATTAAATTTAGAGAAAATAGGGCGAGTAAAATAACATGTATGTCAATACTTTGTGTAGGAACATTAAACAAATCATAAAAATTAAGTAACATGCCTCTAGGTCGACCATTAAGCCTCTTTCTTCAGTTAAGCTTGCAACCAATCACTTTACACAATACATGAATTGTTTTCATAAATCATAAAATGTTTTATATGTATATAATGTAATATATTTCTTATAATCACCCGTCTCGGAAGTATCTTTTATATTGATTAGGTACATTTTGTTTGGCCAAACCCTTTGCCATTTGGTTCAAAAGAACCCCTTTATCATTTAGCTCAAATGAGCCCCTTAACCATTGGCTCAAAGAGCCCCTTTACCAAAAATACCTCCGCATCAACATGCACATACATTCATTCTTTAATTATTCATAAAAAGATTCTTATTTATGCATATGATTAATTATCTCCTAATATGCTACATGATTTCATGATAGCATGGGGAAAGAAATGAGGTAAGTACATTATTTATGCATCACTTTCAAAAGAAACAAATGCATTATATACTATCACATAAGAGATGTACTTGCAATGTAAGATAACACATGAGTAAGAACTTATATATGATATTAAGTATAAGCTCAATTGTCTCTAAACCATTTCCGAATGAGTTCATATGATTAGACAACCATAGAAACATGTGCATAACATTTAGAGCATAATAAGATATAAAAACAGTACGATTGGAAGAATGCTAAAAATTTTCACGACAGTATAGAACATGCTATGGTGAAAAGAATTGAAATTTTCTTCTAAATTTAAAAGTGCCACATTTACCTACCTTAATACAATGTGATATGTCAATTATCCTTACAAACTCTTCCTTTCCACGCATTTAATACGTAAAAGAAACACTCACATCAAGTAAAAATCACTAATCCCACATAAATTCTCTAAACCCTTGTACTATGGTAATAAAGGACCCCTCCATAATTCATGTTCATACTTCCGATCTAAACCCCTTAAATACTTTTTTTTTTTATAGAAGAGTCACATTCTTAAATCTCTATTTAAGCACACACCATTCCCTACTCTCAATTAGCATTTTAAAATTAAATTTTATTTTTGAAATTGTTAAATACCAAAAATAAGAAAATTAGTTTTTAATGTAAGAGTTCTAAATTTGCTTCTAAAAGTCTTTCCAAACCTAATGGAAACCTTCAAGCTCAAAAATTCTATGATTAGGAAAAAATCCTAATTTCCAAACCAAAAATTTCTTCACAAAAATGCATTATTTCTATTATGGGACTCCTAATGTCATTTAAAAACTATCATATAAAACCAATTTGAAAGAAAAGAAAATATAAGGAAACCCTATTTTTTTTTAAATCCACATTTTTAGGAAAAACATTTCTTTCTTAGGTTTAAAAACATCCCTTAACTCTTCCCTCAACTTATCTCAAAGAAAAATTTAGTTTTCTCAAAACGCTAATTTCCTTCCCTTAATAAAAACTCAATGAAAAAAAAGAAACACTTGCAAACCACTTACCTTAACCTTATCTTAGATTTCTCCTTCAATCCCCCTCGAAATCGCCACCGAAAACCACCTCCAAAAGCTTCGATTCCGCCTCCTACCGGACGCCCCCTTTTTCTCGCTCGGTTCGGCCGCAAGACGGAATAGGGGACCAAAATATTTCAGTCTCCTATTTAGAGTGGGAGCCTAATTCCATTTGCCTAAAGTCCAAACTACCCTCACTTAAACCATTTGTGTTTTAACACTCTTTTAGAACATTATAGGCATTTTCAAATTTACATGAATGTTAATTCTTAAATTATGTGAAATTACATATGAGTTCTATATATCATTTTGCTCAGAATTTTGCGCTCTATTTTATAAAATTATTTGAATCGAATTTCGACAACTTTGAAAATTTTACTTAAAACTCAACGCGACGCATCGAAAAGCGTGCGAGGTCTAAAATGACATTTCTGCGGATTTTACAATTCTCCCTCCCTTATAAAAATTTTGTCCTCAAAATTTAAGACAAGCATTAAAAAATCATACCTTAATCAAATAGGTGTGGGTAGCTTTCCCTCATCTCTGATTCATTCTCCAATGTAGCATCTTTCTCAAATCCATGCTTCCAAAGAACTTTAATATGAGGAATCTCTCTAGTTCGTAACTGCTTAACATCATAATCTATGATCTTCTTAGGTTCATCTATAAATGTGAGATCTGGTTGAATATCTATTGCTTCAGTACTGATCTTCTGAGCTTCATCTGCAATGTATTTCCTCAAAGAAGATACGTGGAATACATTATGTACTCCACTCATATGAGATGGCAAAACCAATATGTAGGCCACACTTCCAACTCTCTCTGGTATTTCAAATGGGCCAACATACCTTGGACTCAATTTTCTCATTTTGTCAAATCTCTTTACACCCTTCATAGGACTAATTTTGAGGAATACAAACTCTCTAACATCAAACTCAACAATCTATGTTTGGCATCGCAGTACTTCTTATGTTTGTCTTACATTGCCTTCAATTTGTCACGGATCAATTTTATCTTTTCAGTAGCATCATCTACTAAGTCAGCCCCAATGATCTTTCTTTCTCTTGTTTCGGCCCAACATAAAGGAGTTCGACACTTTCTTCCATGCAAATCTTTATAAGGTGTCATACCTATACTTGATTAGAAACTATTGTTATAAGCAAATTCAATCAGTGGGATGTGTGTCTCCTATTTGCCACCAAAATCTAGTACACATAATATGAGTAAATCCTCTAATGTCTGAATAGTCCTCTCTGATTGACCATCTGTTTAAGGGTGGAAGGCTGTACTGAAAGTAAGTCTGGTGTCCATTACCTCTTGAACATTCCTCCACAATCTAGAGGTGAATCTCCCATCTCTATCTGATACTATTGATCTTGGTACACCATAAAGTCTAACAATCTCATTAATATACACACTTGCCAACTTCTTAACAACATCAAATTGCTTGATAGGTAAAAAGTGTGTCGACTTAGTCAATCTATCTATTATCACCCATATAACATCATGATCATTTCTGGACCTGGGTAAACCAACTACAAAATCTATGGCTATGTCTCCCACTTTCATTCTGGTATAAGTAAAGGCTGTAATAAACCTCCTAACTTTTGATATTCTATCTTAATCATTTGGCAAACTGTACACTTAGCCACCATTTCTGCTACACTTCTCTTCATCTCTGGCCATCAAAAGTATTCCTTCAAATCTTGGTACATCTTGTTACTACCTTGGTGAATGGTATAACTTGAATAGTGAGCTTCTTAAAGAATGTCCTTCCTTAAGTCTCCAACATTAGGGATGCAAATTCTGCCTCTATACCATAATAGATTATATATCCTTATGAAGCTCAAACTCTTCCACATGACCTACCTTCACCATATTTAAGATTTTCTTAAATTCTGCATCTTGTGACAAAGCTACCCTTATCCTGTCTTTTAATGTGGACTGAATGATCATCTGATTTAAGGCCACAAACTCAGCATCATTGGGCTGAACTACAGAAATCTCCAACTTCTCCAAATCTCTTATCAACTCATGTTGTTATGTAATCATCCAACTGGCACTACTGGAAGTCTTCCTGCTCAAGTCATCTGCTACTACATTTGCTTTGCATGGATGATATTGCATATCCAAATCATAGTCCTTGATAAGCTCCAACCATCTTCTCTGCCTCAAATTCAACTCTTTCTGTGTGAAGATATATTTCAAACTTTGATGATCAGTAAAAACTTTTCACTTCACCCTATACAAGTAATGTCTCCAAATCTTTAGGGCAAATACCATTGCAGCTAACTCATATCATGGGTTGGATAGTTTCTTTCATGGTTCTTCAATTGCCTATAAACACAAGCAACGACCCTTCCATTTTGCATCAGTACACAACCCAACCCTTTGTGTGAAGCATCCCTATAAAAGCTGAAATCCATCTATCCCTGAAGGAATAGTAAGCACTAGAGTCGTCATCAAACACTATTTCAATCTTTGAAAAGCCTCTTCACATTGATCTGACCATTCAGATTTCATTGCCTTTTGGGTCAATCTAGATAATGGCATTGCTATCCGAGAAAATCCCTCAACAAATCTTCTATAGTAACTAGTTAAACCCAAAAAGCTGCTGATCTCTATCATGGTAGTTGGTCGAGGTCAATCTGTTATAGCTTGTACTTTGTGCTGATCCACAAAAATCTCCCCATTACTGATCACATGCCCCAAAAAATTTACACTCTTCATCCAAAATTCACATTTGAAGAACTTTGCATACAATTTATTTCCTTTTAATGCATATAACACCTTCATTTGGGGATAAACTAGAATATCATCTATGAATACTATCACGAATAGATCCATAAATGTCTTAAAAATTCTATTCATAAGGTCCATAAACACTGCAGGGACATTTGTAAGACCAAATGACATTACTACAAATACGTAATGTTCATATCTAGTATTGAATGTTGTCTTTGCTTTGTCCTCTTCTTTGATCTTAAGCTGATAGTATCCTGATCTCAAGTCTATCTTGGAAAACACAAAGGCACCCACCAACTGATCAAACAAATCATCAATTCTCAGAAGAGAGTATTTATTCTTTATAGTCAGCTTGTTCGATTCTCTGTAGTCGATACAAAGCCTTAAACTTTCATCCTTATTCTTAACAAAAAGCACAGGAGCACCCCAAGGAGAAGTGATAGGCCTGATGAATCCCTTATTAAGCAATTATTGAAATTGATCTTTCAACTCCTTCAACTCTTTTATCGACATCCGATAAGGAGCTTTAGAAAGCAGATCTGTTCCACTAACCAGCTCAATAGTAAGATCAATCTCCCTGCTTGGAGGCAAGCCAGATAAATCATCTGTAAACACTTCTGGATATTCTTGCACAAAAGGTATCTCCTCTAATCTCTTCTCTTCTTTCTTCTC